AATAAAGAGAAAAAAAGAAAAAAAGAAAGAAAGAAAAAAAGAAAAAAGAAAAAGAATAAAATAAAGAAAAGAAAGACAGAGAGAAGAGAAAAATAAAATAAATAAATTAAGGAAACACGATATCACAAGAAACGGATTATAAACTGTACTGCTGCTGCTGCTGCTGCTGCTGCTGCTGCTGCTGCTGCTGTTGCTGCTGCTGCTGCTGCTGCTGAGATGGTGAGGCCCAGTAGAGCTTTATAAATAGCAGAGAATTCCAAAGAAAACAAGAAAGGACCTGCTGCTGCAGCAGCAGCAGCTTCTGCTGCTGCTGCTGCTGCTGCAGTGCCGGCGAGAAAAAGCAGCAGCAGCAGCAGCAGCTGCAGCAGCAGCAACGGCGGAATCCCTCGGTAGCTTAGCTGCAGCACAAAAATATAAATAAAATAAATAAAGAAAAGACAAAACAAACGAAAAGATGAAACTGCTGCAGCATCAACAGCAACGAGCAACAGCGGCAGCAGCATGCATGCGCTGCATGCAGCAGCAGCAGCAGCAGCAGCTGCAGCAGCAGCAGCAGCAGCAGCAGCCCCACTTAACCTTTTTAAACACAACTAAATATATTTTTGCTGCATTTAATTATTTCTACGGATACATTGGCAGCAGTTGCTGCAGTTTGTGCTGCTGCGGCTGCAGCAGCATGCAGCAGCAGCAGCAACAGCAGCAGCAGCAACAACAGCAGCAGCTGCTGCAGAAGCAGAAACAACAGCAGCTGCAGCAGCAGCAGCAGCAGCAGCAGCAAACAATGGCTTCCCCAGTGCGCTGTAGAGCGCAGCCACACAACACCACCAATGACAGCAGCAGCAGCAGCAGCAGCAGCAGCAGCAGCAACAGCAGCAGCAGCAGCAGCAGCAGCAGGGACGCGTTTCAGGAGCCGTCAATATGTATTGAAGCGCCTCCCCTCCTCCGTCGTATCATCGTAAGCTAAACCCTAAACCCTAAACCCTAAACCCTAAACCCTAAAACCCTAAACCCTAAACCCTAAACCCTTATTGGATCCGCTCTAGAGAGTGAATAGGGTCTGTCTGTGTGTTTGCTGCTGCAGCAACAAGACCAGCAGCAGCAGCAGCAGCAGCAGCAGCAGGAGCCGCTGCTGCTGCAGCTGCCTGCTGCTTGGGCCTCCGGTGTTTCCTTTGGGGTGGAGGTGCTGCAGTGGCTGGCGCTGCCGCAGCAGCTGCAGCAGCAGCAGCAGCGAGCAGCAGCAGCAACAGCAGCAGCACCTGCAGCAGCAGCAGCAGCAGATGCAGCAGAAGCAACAGGTGATCCAGCTGCTGCTGCAGCAGCAGCAGCAGCAGCAGCAGCAGCCGATGTCTACACCGTAACGGGTGAGGCAGCTGCCTGTCTCCAGCGCAGCTGCAGCAGCAGCAGCAGCAGCAGCAGCAGCAAGAACAGCAGAACTGTTTATAAATGTTGCTGTTGCTGCCTCTGTCACTCAACAGGCCAGAGGGATTCACGCAGCAGCTGCTGCTGCTGGGCTGTGCAGCAGCAGCAGCAGCAGCAGCAGCAGCAGAAGCATGGCGTTTTAGGAGCAGCAAGTTGGTCTCCTGTTGCAGCAGCAGCAGCAGAAGCAGCAGCAGCAGCAGAAGCAGCAGCAGCAGCAGAGAAGGGTAAGGATGAGCGTCAGCAGCACGAAGAGCAGCTGCAGCAGCTGCTGCAGCAGCAGCAGCAGGAAAGATATCTATGGGCCCCCCCAGTAGCTGAGTATGGAGACAGCTGGGAGTTTATAACAAACCCTCAGGCTGTACAAACAGCATATTGCTGCTCTGCTGCTGCTGCTGCTGCTGCTGCTGCTGCTGCTGCTGCTGAGAACAGCAGCAGCAGCAGCAGCAGCAGCAGCAGCAGCAAGTGCGAGCTGCGGTGCGTACGGCAGGTGAATATGTTGTGTGCTGCTCTTCCCGAGGCAGCAGCAGCAGAGAAGGTTGGTGCTGCTGCTGCAGCAGCAGCAGCAACAGCAGCAGCTGCTGCTGGTGCTGCTTCAAGCGTCTGCCCGCCGGCAGCAGCAGCAGCAGCAGCAGAAGCAGCAGCAGCAGCAGCAGGACCCATGGCTGGCTGCTGCTCTCCCCTCTCCCCCGAACCAGAAGCAGCAGACAATATGCTGCGCTGCTGGGAGCAGCGGTATTTCCGCAGACAAGAAGCAGAGCTCAAGCAGCAGCAGCAGCAGCAGCAGCAGCAGCAGCAGCAGCAGAGAGCGCTGCCGCCTCTCCCTCTCTCTCATGCTGGGGTCTTGAGCTTCCTACCCCCCCTCTGCAACTGCGGCAACAAAACTCTATACCAGCAATGGCAGCAGCAGCAGCAGCAGCAACAGCAGCAGCAGCAGCAGCAGCAGCAGCAGCAGATGATTGGGGGCCCCGAGTCTGGTGCTGCAGCAGGACCAACAGCAGCAGCAGCAGCAGCAACAGAAGCAGCAGCAGCTCCTTCTGCTACCAATGAAAGCAGCAGCAGCAGCAGCAGCAGCAGCAGCAGT